ACAAAACTATTTTGAAATGTTTTGTACACAAAACCAGCAAGTCTGTGTTCTAGTAAAACTGAAGGGTTTTGAAGACCCACATTATGGAAATTTCATACTAATTTTGCTTCTCCCTTCTATTCAAGAGCTACATGACTTGAAAACACTTAGGTGTGAAAATAAGAAATGGAGCTCAGAAAACAAAAGGCATTGTGACTAGCAGCGTTAGGATAGAGGGCTATTCTTGTCAATAAAAAAGGGAAAAATAATTATCATGCTTAGTATCTTCTGTTACTCTACCCTATTGTTGTCAAACCACTGCCACCATTAATGCCGTCTCAAGGCACATTTAGTAAAAGAATCCTTTTGTACTCCTCCCCATATAAACCTTGACCAGGTCCAGCAATTTGGGGGGTTTCACTTAGCACTGCTATGCTCCCTCATGCCCTGCATTCCCAGGCTTAGCACTCCACCCTTTCATTTGTGAAATCCTTCCAGTTTTAGTGTCAGACACACTAACACAAGTGAAACAAATGATCTAGCATGGGATACTGAAAAACAAACAAACAAAACAGTGGCTCCATTTATTTGATTGAGTATATTTAACTGGCATTACTTCAACTTACATCACTCATTTGACATGTTCTGTGTATGCGTGCACTCTATACAGAAATGACATTCTAGAATGAACGCATTTCAAAGTTTATAAACGATTATGAACTCCTGGCCTATTAAGACATCAAAGACTGTGGTCTGAACTCACCAAAATTTTTGCACTAAAAGTACAAAATCAACTGGTGAATGATAAAAATCAACTACGAAAGCAGACAATCTTTTAGGATCTAGTGACCTGGTTTTATGTTGAAAATAATAAAAATTCTATACATGAATATACACACAAAGTAACCACAAATGACAGTTCCATCTTGCCTGAACTTTGAAAGTATTTCATCAGGAAAGAACATTCTAAATCAGTTTAGCCTAAAGCAGCATTTTGATTGCCTAATTTAACTTTGTAAAGGAGAAGTAAATCTCATAAGTTGGTCTGTAAGCCTCACAGCTGGAACGCTGGAACGTTCTAACACTACTTTGCTGTTTCCAGTGATCAAAGTAAGTTACTTTTTATCTAAAACTAAGAATTTCATAATGGAAATAATGCAGCACCAGGGGGTGCAGTTATCATGAAATAATTACACTCCTGGGAGATTACAGACAAGGCTGTACCCCAGGAGTGTGATTATCCCATGATAACCACATCCACGGAAAGTGCCTTATTGCAAAAATAATCTCTATTCACTGGTGAGATATTATTCAATAGGCACTTTAATGGTAAGATTGTTATTTTTTTTTTTAGCATGAATTACCAAATAGATTAGTAAAATGGTCCCAGAAGCAAAATAACCAAGCCACCAAGCCTAACTTGCAGGTACTGATTGTAACTATTTTCCTGTTTGCTGTAGCACTGCAGCACATTTCCCAACTCCCAAGGCAGCTGTCTCTTCTCAGGGAGCACAGACCCCGGCCACAGGCACATGCTTTAACTCTGCATTTCCACCAGAGTAATCTGAAGCCAGTGACTGCTCTTTGGGTACAAGATGAATCCAAACCAGCAATGCCAATCATTTGATGTGCAAAGAGGAAGACTGCAACACAATCCTCGCATAAGATAACATATTCAAAGAAAAATATTTTTCTGCTGAATTAAGAGAAACACAGCCTGTAAGGTTTTTCTTTACAAAAGTTACACGTTCATGGTTATTTTACAATGCTTGAAAAACTGTACACTGATGACTAGTAGCTGCTCTTTTTCCTCACAGATAAACAGAACAAAGGCTTCAGATAATTCAACTATACCAGACACAGAAGTTTCATTTTCATTCATTTTTAACTCAAACATTTTCTTTCAGGCTGAAAAATAATCTGAGCCCAGATAAGACATACTGTTTTGCTCTCCTCCTGAGGGAAGAGGAAATTAAAATAAAATACATGCTGAATTTGCATCAAGTGCTCTCGAATATTTTTGCTGTGTGTTGAGATAAAACTGCCAAAGGAAACTAAAATGGCAATTAAAAATCAACTGCACTGTTTTCAAATATCTGAGAATTATGCAAATAGGATTTTTTTAAAAGCACCTTCTAAGAGGTGGACTCTGGAAAACTTGTGTCAACATCAAGAGATGCTGAAACTATGAAAACTCTGCTTTGGAGCAGACCATAATACACAGCACAAATTCCCTGTTCTGTTCACATGCTGTTTCCTTCCCTTTAACATGAGCTACTCTGTTTGAAGGAACAGTTTCTGTACTATTTAAACTTCTTTTCATCCAAATAGGAGTCTAAATTTTACTGCAATTCAGCGGTTTGAGAACTTAAAAATATGAAAAGAGTTTTAAAAACACCCTTTGGGGGACTTGTTGGCAATAACATGGCCACCACTGTTTTCTTTACAGGTTAACTTTCTTCAGTAACATTTCTGAGAGCGGGAGACCTTTAAAGACTTCAAAGTATTATGCTACTGATTCCAGACATGAGTCTAATTGGGATATAAGACACTTCTATCTCATAGATGTTCTGCATATGAGATGTTTCAGCTCTTCTTTGGTGCAGAATACACAAAGCTGCTACCATTTCTGTCCTATTCTGCAGACAGAAACACATTTGGGTAAATGCATTAAGAACTGCAGAATAGCGAAGTGCAGACCAACAGGACCAGTAAGAAGTCACCCACTGTACAGCACAGGTGAAGCCGGGGCCATTTCTAAAACGCCTCTCACCCAGCAATTACCAACATGAACGTATTTGGAAGGTTAGACGTCGGAGCAGGAGGCAGAGGCTCCCCAAGCATGGGCTGCTTTGGGATTCACGACCAGCCGGTAGGCTCTGCAGCAAATCACCATGGAAGATACGTACCTGGTGTCCTCTACCAAACAAAGGGGAATGTTCAGCACAAGATTAGGCCAGAAGTTAAGAATCATAACCTAAAAAGAGGAACACAACTGCCAAGCACTGCCTAGAAAAGGTGCTTTTTGTTCTGTTTGAGCAAAAAAAAAAATGATGTCAAACCTGCAATAAAGTGCTACTGAGTAAATCACTTCCAAGCAACACTGAGCTCTTCTCTTATTAAAAAAAAAACAAAACCCAAAACCAAAAAAAATCCTTAAGATTATTCTGCCCCTCTCCCCCTTAAAAAACATCAATGGTACACAGTCTAAATTTGGTTATGCTAAAACATTTAGTTTCTTAAACTAACTGGAGTCCTAGTTAATTAAAATTATTTCATTTTATTTCTTTATTATTTGTATCTCTTGGATAATTCTATCCACTCATTTATGAGATGGTGCTTACATATCACTTGACTGACGCAGACTAGGAACAAGATGTCAAAGACAGGGTTCCTAGATAACTTGGATTTGCACATAGCCACAGTGCTTCCTCTGTGCATATGGAGTTTTCATATGTCTTACATAAGTGTAATTTAAATGAAGATTTAGAAAAGATGATGAAAGGATTACATGCTTGAGGTTAGAAAAAGCAGACAATCTTTTACTGGTTGA